ACAAATAAACAAAAGAAACACATGTTAGTCCTTACAGATTCTTCTACATAGTACTTAGTAAAGAGCATTGTTACTTACTGAAATGAAACCTTGGAACTTGTGCATCCTTCCAATTTACGGGACCCTTCACCTGGCTCAGGTGTGAGGGGGGACCGGCTGTTGAATTCTGCCTCCAGAGTGTTCTTGTTCAAGGCTGTTTTTGTTACACTGGATACAGAACCCAACACTGGCATGGATTTGGACTCTGAGGTGGCTAATATCCCAGTTGGACCTTAAAACCAAACACATACCTCAAGTTTAATCATTCTGTGTGACACTTATTAATATGGCACTGAAAAACAGATTAGGTGAAAATCCCTCAAGATGTAAAAAGGCCAAGTTTGTTAAAAATTTCAAGGGCATGTTAAAAAAATTTTCCTACTGGAAATCTGCTCTGCTTTGGTGGCACTACTGCTTTTCAGTGCCGCAGGAGCATGCTGAGAAATTATACGCAGACCTTTAAGAATCTACAAAGTCCCCAGGCTACAGTGCCTTGCTGACCAGTGTTCACAGCAATACAAGAATTGTGAAAATGCTTTTCTTCTCCCAGAGCATGGCTTTCTGAAAGCCCTGCTTGAGCCATTTCACCTCTCAAGAGTTAATTCTTCCCAAAACTCAGCTCTGCATTTTAAACAGAAAATGAAACAATGTCAAAAGGATCTTTTTAAAAAGCTTATGAGGGCTTCTTGAGCATTAAACAGCTTCTATGAACATTTTCATTTTAATGTGAATGAGAAGTAAGTGGATTTATTGCCTCTTAAAATACAGACACAGGATTATAGAAATTAAGTGACAAAGAGTTTGGCTGTTTACTTCTTGGACTTTTCTGTTCTTTGGGACAGCATTTAAAAACTACAATAGAACTTGTTATTGAAATGATTGGCATACCCACCTGAAAATTCTGGGCACTGAAATTTTGCCTCTTCGTGAATTTTTTTCTATCTTTAGGTAGAAAGATTCTATCGTAGGTAGTTCTCCTCTAAGCAAGATTCTAGTGTAGCTTTCCGGAAACTCTAGCCTGACTGCTTTTAAAATAGGGATTTATGAAGTCACAAATATGCAAATTTAATAACAATTTCTAAAAAATGAAGTTAGAGGATAACCTTGAAAGGTGCTACTAAGTAAAGGACAAAGCTTGGGAGTCTCTTTATCCTTAAGAAATGTCGGATCATCTATCAAGATGGAAACTTCTAGTGGGCACAATTCAAAATACTAGCTAATCCATGATCATTAATATTTAGCTCTGAAATTTTATTCTTACATTTGGCTAGAATATGTCTGATGTACTACAACAGTAAAATACATCAACTTTATAAATAAAGGTCTGATTTGGAAAACCAGCTAAGAGGAACTAGAGAATTCCTCAGCCAATCTTTTAAATATCTCTTTTGCTGACTCCATGTAGACAGAGCATAGAACCTTTCTGGTGTGGTAAAAGCCCCAGCCCACAAAGCATTGGTCTCGGACTTCTTTACTTATTTCCTCTAAACCATGTGGGCAGACAGGTGGTGACATTATTGAATATTCTAGTTGAAAAGGGCTTTTCCTCCCAGCTACTTTTATTAAGCCTCATGTTGCATGGGGATGTGGGAGTAAAGACAGAAAAAGCATAAAAAAAAAAGAAAGAAAGAAAAAAGAAAGCAAGCTCCTGAAAATATAAACATGAAATTGAATTCAAGATTTGCTTCAGATCAGCCCTATTCTGCCCTTGAACAATTGTTGACTACAGCACTAGATAGCTTTAAACAATCTGTCCTTGTAGGGAGGCAAGATCTGTTTCGGAATACATCAACGCCTGCTGCTTGTTCAGCAACTGAAGCCAATTAAAAAGGGGGAAGAGAAGTAAGCTGAGCCAGAGCTCCTATTTTTCTTACATATAAAAAGCAATCAAGAAAAATGCACAATGTCTGAGATTATTACTTCATCCTGCCTAAGCCACAATGTTTTCTAAGAGGCACTTAGTGCTCTGTGAGATGTCAATATGGCAGGCCACTGAGGCAGGTAAAGCAAGAGAACATCATCAATTAAGCCCAGAAGAAACACTGAAACAAGTGGTATGTCCCTGGCCCCTGAGGAGATACCCACTAACTTGAGATCTGAGTTCTGCAAAACTCAGGCTGCCTCTTTATGACGCTTTCATTCTCAGCTCCTGTCCTCTCCCACTTACTTTGTATACAAAAGCAAACAATCTCAGAGACCCAAGTGCACCCAAGGCAGAAACCTATCCAAGGTCTCCTCTCTGTCATTTGACTCCTGCCATGTAGCTGCCAGGCTTTAGCTGCTTCCTCATTCCCTACCCCCAAATTTCTACTTTGTCATTACATGACCTTTCAAGAAAGATTCACATTGTAAATGCCTCTTCCAGTTTGATGCTAAGAAAATATTTATACTACCAAAAAAAGGGATATTTGTTTTTAGATGATGAAAACTTGTTAGTTTGTTTCTTTCATTTTGCTGCTCTTCTGACTTGGCTATTAGGAAGCTCAAAATCTGCTCAATTACAAGTTACTCCCTTAGTATAAGTTTCTTTTCCATCTCGCCAGTGACAATTCTTATTTTTCTATTCATGTACTAGTGGTTCTAACTGAAACTATATCTTTTATTCTAACTTCCCTCAAATGCTATGCTAATTGTATATTAGTGGGTTACAATAGTTAAAATGAGAGATTCTCACTATGCCTTTACATTGTGTTACTTTCTCCACTCTTTGAATTACAGTATTCTATTTCTATATTGACCAAAAGGAAAATGTTCCCTCATTTCTTCCACTGAAAGCTAACTCTGAAACAGTGAGTGTTGTACATTTGACCAAATTCATGAGTGAAGTAAGAATGTTTCTGGAAGAACAATACAATCCATGTCAAAACAGAAGTAAATGACCTTCTCCTTAAAAAACAAAGAAAGGTCATCTATAGAGTCCTAAAAAATGGCAATGCCTGCAGGAATACTTTAGGGATGGAATTATGGAAAGGATAACTCAGGCATGGATCAAGTCACAAAAAGATGATGATTCACACATAAGCACCTGTATGTGTAAAGCAATCCTATGAAAAAATATCCTATAGCACCCCTTTAATTTTTCTGAGAGGCGGTTATTTGGGGAAGGGAGAAAGAAGCCTTGTAGGATTTTAATAGAAGAATTTGCAGACTGAACTAGAACCTGAATAGCTATGTTTTTTTTAAAAAATAAGAAAACAAAGCTTTCATCTTTTCATAATACAAGTATGGCTGGTATTTAGCTCATTTTAATCCAAGAAGCCAATTTATTCAATTGTTTGAATATATCCTTATGTAAAAAACAGAGTTTAAAATGATCAAGACCTCATCTTTAATATTCTAGCAACTTAAATTTGGTCAACATGACTCAATATTTTGCAGATGTAAGGCCAGGGATTTACCTCAGTGGTGCCATCGCCTGCCTCGCAAGAACAAGGTCCCAAGTTTGATCCCAGGTACCCGCCCCCCCAATTTTTTTTTTTTTTGCAGATTTTAAATAGTTACAATGGACTATTTGAAATCAACCTAGTTGAGTCTAAAAGATTCAGCCCATTAGCTATGGTTGCTGATGATTTATGGCAATTTTTCAAAGTCAGTCTCCTTTCTAGCCACAAGGGGAAAACCTCAAGAGCTTCTACTAATTCCCATGACCAAGCTGATGAAAACAACTGAAGACAAAGTCAGTTCTGCAACAGATTCTGAGGCTTAATACATGGCTACCTGATTCAAATATAAGCTGTGAGCTCTGGCCTTGTTTACATGGTGCTTTTATAGTTGGTGACACAGCTGTAATTTCTCATTCACATGTTTCAGAAGCTGAAACAGTAAGATAAATGGATATAAACAGTAAAGATGATTTTTTGCATTTGTAACTAAAGTATGACTATTACTAAAACTATAATTACTGATAGGTCTCCCACTACCTCAGCAGCTATTATGTATAGTAGCTGCCCTCTTCCTATTGTGCCTTGCCCCCTCCCCTGTGTGACATCATGCCAAGATGGTTGCTCCCACCAAAAAATAAACCCTTCTTCCCAGCATGCCCCTGTTCCTGCCTAGAAAGTAACCTAATACTCGCTCACCTCCTACCATCTAGTGACATCACCGGCTCCTCCATTCCCTAGTCACTACCTCACTCAACCCCACCTCGGCCCCTACAAACCCCACCTCAGTCTCTATAAAAGACTCTCCCTGCCCCGGCTATATTGCTTTTGTCTCTCCTTTGTTCAGAGACGGCCTGGCAGATCTATTCCCCTAATAAAGGCTTGTTGTGGCCTGGTCTGGTCTTGGTCTTCGGCCCTTTTACCTGACAATTACTATGTCCTTACTTTGTGCCTGGCTCAGCAGTAAACACTTTTTATATATTGACTGACTTACTCTTGAAAATAATCCTATGAAGCAGTGCTTTTATTATCATCACTTTAGAGATGAAGACACCGAGAAAAGTTGAGTAATTTGCCTAAGGAAAGGGATTGAAGAAAGGACTGAACTGGGATTCAAAAACAGGCAACCTGGTTCTCGAGCCTGTACTTGATGTTATATTCTTGCCCAAACCCATCCTGAATGTCTTTACACTAGGGAATCTCAGATTAAATAAATCGGATCTGTATATGGCTGATTATCTACAAATAAATAAATGAACCAATAAATAAAAAGGGGAAGGGGAAGTGGGAGGGGGAGGGGAAAGGAAAGAAGGGAAAAGAATAAATATGAGAAAAGGAAAAAAGGGAAACAAAGTCTTTGTAAATAGGGAGGGGTGGAAGGGTTGAAGGGAGGGCAGGGGAAGGGGGGAAAATAAGAACCAAGATATATCATGTAAAGGTACAAATCTCCAATGATGAATGTCATCATACTGTGTACCTAAAATGTGCCAATAAACTTAATGAATTTTAAAAAACAATTAGAGTTCTTATAAGATATTCAGAAATACCCTTTGCCCACCCAATACTTCTCACTCACATTAAAAATAATATGGTAATAACAATTTTTTAAACATGTTTTATGTTAAAAAGGGACTACAGGAAGAGGTTTCAGAGATGAAGAGGACTGTGGAGAATTCAAACTCGCTTACTACTGCTATCTGCTTCTGCTGTCACCTTTCTGCGACGCAAAATCCTTTCTAACTCAGTTTCACTGTTTTCAGGGTCAAGAGATTTTAAGCTTCTTGAACTAGTGGATTTGTTAAGTGTCCCCTAAAGTGAAAACAGAAACAAAAAGATTAATATCTTAATACAATATACAAAGGAATATAAAAATCAAACCAACAAAACATTATCAGAATTTGAATGGGATTAGGAAACAAAACAAACTTGCTGTATATATATATATATAACTTTTTAAATGTACACATCCTCAACAACACAGAGCACTGGATCATTTAAGAAGATGCTCCTGATGATGTAGTTGCTGGCTTCACATCAGAACAGCAGTACAAGAACACTTCTGGAAGAGCTGACTGAAATTCAGCAGTGGGAAGGTACTTGCCCATGGATAATAAAGATTCTGATGTGTGTTGCTCAGCTGGAGAAGAAAATGGATATATTAAACTCACCTTCGAAGGATATTCTGACATGGCACCCTTGAGCTAGTGAACTCAAATTCATATAGCACTAAAAAAAGTGTGGCCAGTTCTTCAGAGGGAGACGCACCCTGGCTGCATACCTGGTGACCATGGCTGTAGTGGCTACAAAGGAGGCACGGAAAGCTCTCCAGTGTCCTAAGCAAAGAAGGATGGCACTGTGTACACCTTGAATTCAGTGTGGAAGAGGAAAGGTGTAATCATACAGGGAAGCCTCTTAATTCCTTATTCCTAACAGAGGAGACAGTGAATGTGTTTTCAGTACCCAGAAGACACAGGAAGAAACGAGAGGCCATCAAGCTGTGCCCCTGCTGCAACTGGAGTCGGCTTCCAAGAAGACAACGACCCATGTAGTGGTTCCCTCCTCAGCCTCTCTGGAAGTACGAAATGGAGGGAGATCTATGTTTTCCATCTCCATTTCTAGTCAAGTGTCTATACAGAATGTGGGTGATCTACCTTTCTTTCATTATATGTAAGGATTGACTTAGCACTCCAACATTAGAAGTTTTCCATAAGAAATGGCCACTGTTGCTTAAGTGCCATAAGTTTGGGAACACATGGAGGAAGAAAGAGCTGTTATCTTCTGATCAAAAGATAAAAGAACCTCAGGTCTGGTATAACTGGTCAGATTTCATGCCAGAGTCCGAAGGCAGCTTTTGCCCAGCAAGGCTGATAAATCATGCCAGCTTTTGTAATGTTGGAACTAAGCTACTGTCTTAGTCTTACTCCCTCCTTACTGCCGACTTCTGGAAGGATTATAAGAAATCTACTGGCTAAACATGGTAACCTGTGTTTCTTCTTTAGCCTATAAAACAAAGTTCCTTGTAAAATCAGCTGGTTATAAATTTCACATGATATAGGTTGTAATGTTTTGTTTATAACAAGTTTTTTTCCCCCTATCTGCTGAAAGTTATAGAAAAGTAGCCTATTGTCAAGAGGAAATTGACTAAAAAGATCAGGAGATTCTATTATTTTGTTGTCAGCTTTCTAACCAACTGATGTGTGGAATACTTAGATAAGGCTCATATTTTAACCAGGCATATGCTACTTTTCTCCCTTGGAAGTCCCTCTTTTTACTTTTCATTTATTACACAAATTCATAAAATATATTAAAAGGAAAATCACATCATGTGTAATACTATAATAGCTTATATTATAATTGAAAACCAGGATGATTTGGCTTAACAGTACAGGTCTGCATCTACTCATAGACGAGAAATACAGTAAGGTGTGATGGACACTGACAAAGTAAAGATGACAAGCTACTGTCATTTTAGATACACTTGTAGAACAATTATCCTTGTATCATTCGTATTGCTAATTCTTTAAAACTTAACATCTGTATCACTTGTTAACAGTTATTTGAAAACTTATGGTTATCACTATTGACATAACTTATAAAACTACTACTACAACATTACTTGAATGTCAAGAGGCTGAGTCATTTCAAGGCAAAGGAATAGGATATCTTTTATCGATGAATTTATCTTCCACAACAACCTTTAGTTTTTCATTTAGATAAATTCCTGACTGCGATAAGCTACCCTGTGGTCATATCTGATACTAAAGAAATCCACTTTCCAAGTTCTAACCCTTGAATCCCAAATTTCTTTTTTTCCATTTACTGGCTGATGTGTTTAATTCAGCTAATACTTGTATTAGTAAAATTTAAATATATAGGCAATTGTGGAAGACAAAAAGATTTCTGCATGACTCTTCACTGAAATGATAAAGAGCTCAGCTAATAAATTACCTAATTCCTTCATTTTACAAGGAGAATTTCAAACTCCATGAGCTGCATAGTTTGCCCACGGCCCACAGTAAGTCAGTGATGGGCTGGACACAGAATTTAGATCTTCTAATTCCCAAACCGGACTCTATTTCAAGCCACCATGACCATCTAAAATCTTAGTCTCCATGCTCATTAAATCTCCATGATGCTGACTAATGTAATTTTCAGGTGGCAAAATTAACTGTTCAACAATTCTCATGCACTTTGTAAAACTGAAGATGTTTGAAAAAGACTGGCAAGAGCATTTGTTTCAAGCGGATTTTGTATTTGTTTTAGAGCCATCCAAAGAGACACTTAGGTTAATGTGTATCAATTTAGTCTTTAGAAATCATCATTGCCACTTAGAGGGGCTTTTAAATGATTGGGGTAATTCGAGTGGTTTCATCTGCTAAACCTCAAAACTTCTGTATGAATACGAGAAGTGAATTATTTATATTTTTATCTACAAAATAGCTTTGAAACTTTAGTGGAAGTAGATTCAGAAAAATGAATAGTCAATAATTTTACTGACTTTAAAAATCATACAACTCAAAAAATACAGGGCTGGGGATTTAGCTCAGTGGTGCCGCTGCCTGCCTTGCAAGCATAAGGTCCTGAGTTTGATCCCCGTACCAAAAACAAAAAACAAAAAGAGCTTTCCAACTCCTCCAAACCAGAGATCTGTTTCCATATGTACTATCTCAATAGTAGCTAAATCTCTAAGTCATATTTATACCTTGGGTCACATTCCATGTCAATAAAAACATCCCTCACAGAGCTGCTTCTTGCTTTCAGCCCTACAAGGGAACTGAACATGTGCTTCATGGTATCTCCCAACAGGTGTTTGCTGTCCACACCAGTACACAACTGGAGAGTTTTGGTGGAGTTTTTCCATGTATGCTTCTCAGATGCCATGACTATGCAGTTGGCATCATGTGCTTTATTGAGTACTGATAATCTTAACAGTCTAAATTCCAGCAAGAACTACCAAAAAGCAGGCTGAGCTTTCTCTTTCTAACAAGAATGTGTAGGGTTGTGTTTTTGTTTTTGTTTTGTCTTATGTGACTTGGAGTTAAAAGTGATCTACTATCCCTTAAAGGGAATTTCTTTGGGGGTAGAAGAGATTTTGGCATTTGGCAAGGAGAATAGGGGACAGAGTCATGAGTTCCAGTTTTTAAAATACTTAATGGGAAGAAATAATATTGTCAAAATATCTCCTAGTGACATGTTGATGCCAGATAAGATAAAGAGATCTAATGGATTTAGGGCAAGAAAGAGCAATATGTCAAAAAAAGAGAAAAAAGTTTTTAAAATTTTTAGAATTTGAATACATTTCAAAAATTTCTCTCCTGGAAATGTCATAAAATTATAGTGAATATGGGGGTATAGCTCAGTGTTAGAGCATTTGCCTAGAATAATTAAGGCACTGGCTTCATTCTCCAGTCACATACACACACACACACACACACACACACACACACACACACACACACTTGCTACCATCCAGTGTATCACAGCATGGAATATCTTGGATAATCAAGTATTATCATATGTTTCTCATACAAATGTCTGATTTTCTAAACAAACCCAAATTTTTAAAAACTCAAATTCAGTACAATTTACTCTTACTGAAAATGAGACCTGCTCTCTGGAACCTCACAGCACCCCTAGGGACATCTTCATCAATATGAATTAGCATTATAATGCACAGACAACAAAAGGGACCATCATGGGTAATGCTCCTTAACGGAACCCACTGGATAACAAAATCTTCTGATCAAAGAATCCATTAGATAATAACCACATCCTTTTGCAGTGGTTTTAATCCTTGATTCTGTAGGTAGACCACCACTGTTAGCCAGTGATATACCTCTTTTCAGGGCTAATCCCACTCACTTGAAACTAAAGTGAACTAATTAAGCCATTCTGTGTTAAGTCTACTGTTTAAAGAGGGCTTGATGAAAATAATGTTGTTTACCACCATTATGTGGATGTCTATACACAATGGATAATTAGCACAGTAACTACAAACAGGGGAGTATTTAGTCCCGCACTTTCGCCTCCATGTTTGTTGACTTACTGTGCATAACTGAGATCAGGACTGAAATAGGGTCTGAATATAGAGCTTTCTGCCTGGAGCACTTCTTACTTGAGGTGTTTGTCTGACAGCAACTGCTGGAGAAGGCAGCCGACATTTACTCCGTATTTCAGAAGACAGAAACAGGAAGAGATGGGCATTATGTATGTTCTCCAACAAATGTGAATTGCCTTTAGAAAATGAAATCAGTGACATAAAGAAAGGGACTTTTATCCTCCAATTTCTCATGGAATAATTGTTTCAGCTGTGAGAAAAAGCAAACTGTGACCCTGAGATAAACATATTTGGGTAGAAGCTCAGCTTTACATGCAGGTGTCAAGAATTCCAATTTTGTGATTCAAAGGAAAGCATTATTTATGTGAAGCATCATCCATCTACTATAGTTCCGTTATTCATAAACATGTACTGATCCTCACATATGGTCAGATACTTGATCTTCAGGGTGCAAAGCCAGGATTAGAAGGCAAGAACAGGAAACAATGACATTGGTGAAAGTGTAAACCGGTCTTTCACAACAGAAAGAGCAAAGTGTTACTTCATCCGTTATTAGCACATGTGCTGGAGGAATCCATAAATAAAATCAAGTAAACTGTCAAGAGAAATGAATGGAAAGAAAACCATAACAAAAACAATTATTCATGAAACGAGACAGACTGTAAAAATATTCTCCTTTCATTTCCCAATTTACTATAAACCCACAATAAACTAGTATCTATTCTTACCAGTATTCCTTTTAGTTCATTCACTGCACTTTCAGAGCCCTTTGAAGATTCTGGCTACAAGTATAAAGAGAAAAATAAGTATTGAGTAAATCAGTTTTAAAATACTAAATATTTTTACATGGCAAATCATTGGTAGCTATATTGGTGGTATGTATGGCTATATATTTTTTTAACTAGGTCTATGGCTCAAGGTTTGAAAAAAAATATTAGCCATGTCATATTAGTGCTCCCCAGTGGCAGCAGAACAGAAAATTAGAAGTTATATTCATAGCAAAGGCACTTGTGCTACTACCTTGTAATTATTTTGTAACCTCTTAGTTTTATCAGCATAGATGGAAAAGATCAGGTAAATACCAGATTTTAAAGATTTGATTCCACATTATTCAGAATTTTTAATAACAAACTGTTCTCCATGCACATCACTGAACTTCTGCCAGCAGGCGGGGAAGAGAGAAGGCAGTGCAGAGCGGAAAGCAAGCACTGGGGCAAAACACCTCTCGGCCCCACTAGCTCCTTGTGAGGCCAGCTTACAGGTGCCTGGCATGTCTTGTTTCAAGAATCTCACAACAGGACGGTCAGAGAAGGGAGCAGGGAAGAAGGTGGCTTCCAGGAAAGGGTTAGCATCCCTGCCTGACAGAGTAGCAAGGGCCCTCTAAGGGGAGCAGCCTCATTGCTTCATCTCATGAAGAACTTAGACGTGAGGAATGCAGGATTTGAGGCAGGTGTCTCCACTGCAAGCCCAGTTCTGGCCACACCAAAAACAAAATAATTTCAAATAAAATTCTGGGTAATCCCTGTCTGCCCCAGTGGATCCTTCGACTAATTTAAGGGAGGGAAAATTGAGGCTGGGGCCCCATGAAAAAGCAGCTCAGGAAAGACCTCTGATACCCCTGTATCAATTCCTCTCACAAAGGATAGAGATGGAGAGAAAATTTGCAAGTCATGGTGACTGGAACCCCTGGAGCTTCTCAGTCGCAGAAAAGAGGTGAAGCTAGTCTCTCTCATCAAAAAATGGGAGGCAATCAACAGCAATGCATATTCCCCTCCTATCCAAAAACAACAAATAAGCTCCTATTGCAACTTTAAAAAAATGAAGATAGTGCAAAATTAGGCTACTGCATTCCACTTTCATAGCCCAGGTTTCCTGTGAATCATATGCGCCCTCAGTGCCAGGCATGAACTCTACGATACTCATTTCGACTGTGCCAGCACCATCCATAGTATCAAGGAATTTAGAAAATATGCAGTTAAATTAGTATTCTCCAGGCAAGTTTGACTTCTGCAGGAAAACTGTTCACATGACAACTGGGACTTCTGAACAAATGCCCTGCATCGAGGCATACTCAAAGTGCTGCCATGCCACCCAAGCTGTTCTGATTGCAAAAACCTTTTGGAGCGTGGACTGAGAATTCTCGAACTGCAACATTTCAGGAAGCACTGATGGCACAGGGGGAACAAGGCTGTACTGAGCATGCACTGACCATTTGTTTCAGAAGTCACTGACCTGGCCATTCAGTACTACATCTACACAGCTTAAGCATTACCAGCGAAAAACCCAGTCATCCACTGATCCTTGTTCGGTTGTTTTCCAGATTCTGAATTGACATTAAATAATGTGCAACTGTTAGAAGAGTTATGGGAAGAAAGAAAGAGCACAAAGTGATACTCTGAAAATGAAAGTACATGCAGAACATTGATTGCTTATGATTTAAGAAGTTTCTAACATTTTTCTCCTCTAAACTAATTTTGTTTCTTTATGACACTGCATTTTTCTCTAGTAATAGTTTGGCTTTGCTTATTCTTTCCATAATAGTTGTGACATGAAAGTCATAAAAAAAAATGCATTCTTTTTCAAAGTGGCACTCAGACCCTGAATTTTAAAGCATTTTCACATTTTATTCCACTGAATCCTGATGACCACCCCGTGAGTCAGACAGAGCAGGTGCTGACCCAGTTTTGTGTAGGAAAAAGCACGGGAAAGCTGGTAGTAGTACCAGGGCCTCAACTCCAAAAACAGCACTTGTCTTTCACTCAACCAGTCCTGCCAGACTGTTCTACCCAGCTTCCCTTCCAGTTTTACATTCTGTTCTTTACTCAGAAAATGGCTTCCAGATCACTGGCACAGACAGACCTACTCTACATGGCTGCTGAAACTTCTGTCCTATAGATGCTAAGTCAGCTCTCGGAGTGAACATTGCTTCCCTTGCTACCCTCTTTCCACACACAGCCCTGGCCATGGCTATTCCTTCCTCTGGGGTATGGCTATCTGGCCTGCCTGTGACAAAGCAGCAACTTCGAAAGCACGTTGGAATTTCTACCATACAGTCAGGACACCCAGAGACATTCACGAACTTGAAGAGGGGAGTCCTTGAAAAGAAGAAAAACACCAAACCATAAAGTTTGATGAAAAAGAAGAAAGAGGGGCTGGGGATTTAGCTCAGTGGTTTCGCTGCCTGCTGTGCAAGCTCAAGGACCGGAGTTCGATCCCCAGTACCAAAAAAAAAAAGAAGAAGAAGAAGAAGAGAGAGAACAAGTTTATTCATATGTAATGTGAATGAGGAAAGAAAGGATATTTTCAAGAAAAATGTCAGAAACTATTATTGGGACTATTTAAATGTGACAGAAACACACCAAAGAGAAGGGCGAAACTAGACTCGAAGTGCTTCCCAATCCTAGAGGGCTGTGTTTCTTTTAAGTGACAGTGGATTTTATATATAAAATCTTAGTTCTAGGGCCAGGGATTTAGCTCAGTGGTGCCACTGCCTGCCTTGCAAGCGCAAGGTCCCAAGTTCGATCCCTGGTACTCCCCACCCCCAAAAAATCTTTGTTCTACATTGTCCTGGTTCTGTTTTAATATTATTACGTGATCCCCTCACTAAAACTGAAGCCTCCAGGAGACAAGGATTTTGTGTGCTTTGTTTACTGTCTTATCTCTAGTGCCTAAAACAGTACTTGGCACATACTCGATAGACTCACACTAAAGAAACAGGGATCAAAGAAAAGAAAGGGAGTAACAGTTGGTAACTGTTTCATATGACAGTTCATATCAGTGACCCTCAGGAAGAGAGGACGGCACCCTGCAGACACAGGGCTTGCTTTCTCTGCTGATTTAGGTTCACCATGGGCCAGAGTGTCCTCCAGGCGCATGCTTCTAAGGAAGGAAAAGCTTTTATGACACAGCTTTATCCTAAGATTTGACAGTCCTGAAGAAACTTTCATCAAATTTCAAATTTTTACATTTCATAAAGCAAATCTCAAGGGGAAAGAAAAGCATGTAGTTTCACATTACATACCTTTGCCTTCGGTCTGGCTGTCTGATTAACTGGTCTAAGATGAACTCCCTTTTTAATTCTATCCATCATCTCTTCGACAGCTTGCCTCTTTAGATCTGTGACTTCCTCAGCTGTTCAAAGAACATATACATAAGTCATCTTAGCTTACAGGAAAACAGCTAATTCCTCTATTTGGTGACTTAGAGAGACTGCACTAATTCATTTCCCAGACAAAGAACATGAACAGTTTACTAAGGTTAACTGCTACCAGGTGGCAGCACTTTTTAAAATAATTTGTTTTTTAAATAAAAGATTTTTGATCAGGAAACAAGAGTTATAACAATTAACATCAAATTTGTAGGATGGAAATTAACAGTCTCACTTATGTTAAAGAAAGTAGATTCTGTTCATTCAGCGTAAGGATCTCTCCATACATCTTCTAAAAATCCTATTTTCCAAATAATCCATCATATTTGCCTTAAAAATGTTTTTATAAGTTACAGTACGTCCTATGTCAAAGAAATCAACCCAAAGCCTATTTGAAAAGAAGGATCAAAGAGGTATTTTCTCGTTGGAGGGAATCCATAGTCAAAAGATAAGCAGCAGAGAGGTAAAATCTATTTTTAAACTGTTATCTCTTGTTTATGAAACACACAGAAAAGGAAACATTTAAGCAAATCTTTTCAAGGCTTTTTAAATTGTCCATGTTAAAAAGAAAACAGATCAAGCAATAAATGAAATTAATTAAATGTGATTAAAATTTCAACTATTGTCTAATCTTTGCATTGTCTCGCTTCAAAAATTAATAAAGCTCTTGAGATGTATATCAGTTAGATTAACACAACCAAAGTAAATTTAAACCTGTTAATCAAAATAATGAAGTCTGTGTTCCTTGCAGAATAGCTTGACTAAAAATACAGAAACATTGTGGAACACTGGTCACCCATTAATGTGGTTCTAGATCTTGGGTTTATCTACATTCAACTCACTACAGCCAATATATTTGAGTATCTCATAACAACTTTCCAAGTAACATCTTTAGTAGATTCCTGACTACCTGGCATATGGTAAGTACTCAACAAGTATCTATGGACCAATTGACTTCTGAAGTTTGGGCTTTATACAGCTGTCAATATTTTTACTATTTGAGTAGAAATGACTAAACCCCAAAAGGCTGACCTCTAAATGGAGGGGTTTAGTCATTCCCAGGTGACTAAATGTATTCCCAGGTGAGTTAGTACTAGTGTCAGGCTCTGAGCTAAGGAGGCCTGAATCATGGCTTCCTTATGCTAACCTCAACTAGCCATTCCTCGTATACAAATGCCTTGGGGAACAATGAGAAAGTCCTGCCAGCTTCGCTATCCTCACCTCTGCAGCTCCACAATGATGGGGGCCACTGCTACATTCATCATATAGCCTAGGTTCTCTGATATAATCCTCACTTCCAATAGAGTTGTCATCCTCAGAAACTACTGAAGGGCCCGGGGATTTAGCTCAGAGGCATAGCGCCTGCCTGGCAAGCGCAAGGTCCTGAGTTTGATCCACAGTATCAAGAGAAAAAAAAAAAGAAAGAAAGAAACTGTTGAAAAGGTGAGAATTAAATTTTCTCAACATCCAAACAACATTTTTCAGATTCAGAAATCAAAAAGTATCTTTTGCCTGGCAACATGGGAAATACGGTCACTGAAGTTTAGAACTCATTAAATGAAAGAACAAAACTTCATTTTTGATGGTCCATGTGCCCTTAAGTAGCATTTTCTTGGGCAGCTTCTGATAGCTCACAAATATCAACAAGGGGACAGACCATCAATTGCAACGAGTGAAGTTCATTCATTTATTCACTTGCTCACTCATTCAACATCTGAATATCTATTGTGTAGTACACAGTGCCTCTGCTGACCCTATTCACTATCAGGGGAGATAAAACCCAAATCTGTCATTCAAGTACTGCTATGGGTATGGGATTTATTCCTGGGAATTGAGAAAACAGCCTCAAAACACATTTGATTTTTTTAGAAAAGCTGCCATTTTGAGTGAGACTAGGAAGAGCTGTGTGGCAACAGGAATACCGCCTACAAACAGATTAGCACTCTGCAAGGAATGACTGAAACCCAATTAAATGCACCATACAAAAACTAATTAAGGCAGACAGATGGAGAATTATGGTCAACACCATTCAAATCTGCTACAGCATCTAACATAGCAGGAATTTAAAGCAGTTTCTTATATTTGCTTGCCAGAATCACAGTGATAATTCAGAGAAGTGCCACTATCTGTATTGTGTACAGATTATAAACCATGCTTTAATTTCTCAGTCTTTTTCAAATATAAAGGCTTAATTGGTCTTAAGAAATCACTCTTATCAGATTCCCTACTCAGGCACAATACAAGGGCAACGCTAGGTTAGCTGCACAAGCTTTCTTTCTTGCCGACCCTGTTTTTGAAATAGCAAAAAGCAATCTATATGAACTTCTAAACTATTAAGCAGTTCTAATAAACCGGCAAGTATCACCTACAGAGAGCTCATGGTATGTTTTGTAATTCTTTCTGCAATCACGCAGTTGGTAATTGTCTCACAAAAGCATGTAATCAGGGGGACAATAGAAATATGCAGGATACTGGAGATTAAAGAAAAGGGACAAATGAAGACAACAGGTCTAATGTTATTGAACTGCCAAAGGAAAATAAAATCAAATGTTCTCTGAGTTAGTGCTTCAGGGTCAGTCTTAGATCAGAAAGCCACATGTAATTAACTGAGGCTTAAATTTCAAGACTCACTTGAAAAATAAGTTAGTTCCTAAAAGCAAAAATAAAAAGGAAAGAAACTTACAGATAAAACCATCACCCTGCTACTCAATAATATCTTCTACTATTACCTGGAAAAAACTAAACTAAAATTTTAAATTCCATAGGATTACTTTTCTCTTTCGCTTTTTGAAAAAAAGGAATTAAAAAACAAAACACACCATCATGAAGTATATAACTTTATTTATTTACTTATTTTTTATTGAACTCGGGTCCTTGCGCTTGCACAGCAGGTGGCAAAACCACTGAGCTAAAACCCCGGCCCGTGAAGTATGTAATTTTAAAAGAATACATTATGGCTAAATAAGTTTACATTTGACCTAAGATCAGAAAGTTAAAGAAATTTCCTTAACTACAGTATTCCATGAACCTGTTGAGTAAGGAATCTCCTTGCCACTCTCAAAGAGTGGCTGGTAACTTGTCCACTTTTTAGCTAATATTTTAAGTATTTCCTACATGTTGGGTCCTACTCTAAATAGTTTTTACAATATGAGATCTATGAATTCTCACAACAACCCTATGAAATAGGAACTATAATAGCTCCCCCTTACCTGCAAGGGCATATGTTACAAGACCCCTGGAGTGGCTGAACCCTACATATACTGTTTTGCCTACATATCCATACTTACGATAAAGTTTAATTTATAACTTAGGCACAGTAAAAGCTTAGCAACAATATTAATAAAATAGAACTATTTTAACAATATATTATAATAAAGTTATGACAATGGGCTCTTCTCAACTGCCTCAGGGTGAGTAGCACAGGCAACATGGATACACTGGAAAAAGGGATGATTCAGACCCTGGCAGGCCAGAGCAGGACAATATGAGATTTCATCATGCTATTCAAAACAAGCAATTGAAAACTCATAAGTTGTTTATTTCTGGAATTTTTCATTTATGTTTTCATGGTTGACAAGGGTAATTGACTTTTTTTTGGTACTAGGGATCGAACTCGGGTCCTTGTGCTTGCGCAGCAGGCAGCAAAACCACTGAGCCAAATGCCCGGCCCTGACAAGGGTAATTGAAACCACAGAAACCACAAAAAGTGAAACTGTGAAGAAGTGACTACTGTACTATTACCCAGGTTCACAAACTGACACACAGAGAGGTTAAAAATAAACAACCCATAAATGATTGAAATAAATGATAAACAGTAGACATGTCACTGAAATCTCAGCATTGGCCTACTAAATACATTCTTGTCAAAATCAGAGTTATTAACTTCAATGTTTGTAATGATTTCTTATATTCAGATTTTAAAACCATGGCTCAAATATTCCACAGATTTTGTTCACAAATATTCCACTGATCTTCCTAGGAGTCATAGGAATTCTCCCACTTCAAAGCTCTGAAAACTTTACCGAATATATATTAGGAGCCATCCTAAGTTGCTGGCATGAGAAGGATAACAGAGATAGTGAGACCATCCCTACATTATACATGCAAATCCCAAAGTGTCACAAACGATCTAATATTTGATGCTCTATTCATCATCATGCATTCATTCACCATGCATTTAATCACAATGTGAACCATAACAAGACACTATAAATAACGGCTGTGCTGACACACTGTGTAGCACACAGTAGGAACTTGGCAACTCACAAATCCCTCCTTTGGAATGTCTCTCTCTCTGCTACCCCCAAACACTCATTCCTCCATGAAAACACATTTCCTGATGTATCTCTCATTATAGTGGCATGTGTTCATAATTATCACTTCTAGACAACAACCTCAGGTATCTGGTTTCTTCTTAGCTGCTCCTCAAACTTCTCTTCCAGCAAGCTTTCCACAATGACCCCAACACACATGTGAACTGTTGAAAAACTGTACACCATCAACCACTTACAGTAAATCAAATGTAAGTGATGCTTACTTGTTTCTGGTTGAATCGCCTTTTCTTTTTTAGCACCACTGCCACTGGGGTGGGATCGCTTCCGGATCATGGACATGAGGGATCTTAGGAAGAAAGACACAGATGAATAGGAGATTACTGCATACCTTATGATCCAACGGGTAAAATGTATAGATTCTAAATCATCAGTAAACGCACAACTCTTCTGTAGGTGGAGATGCATGCACAATTAGAATTTAAGTCATCTTTCCACTTTCAATAATATTAAATTTTTTATGACCTTAAAGAAAAGAAATATGAATCATCCCCTTCTGTGTAAAACCAAACTAATTACTAGAAAGAGGAGACTGCTATAATTACTATTACATACTTAAAAGGAAAATACAGAAAAAATTTCAATATGCATATATAAATTCAGAAACAGCTATTTGTGTAATACATTTAAGAGACAAGAAAATATGAAAAAAATCAGCAGACAGTTCATATTAAAAAGCAGTACATGTGTAACTAGTTATTATCTACTGGTGATATATGGATATAAAAACATCTCAATCTGGTAGGGGAAAGGAAAGAAGGGAAAAGAAAAAAATATGAGAAAAGAAAAAAATGGAAACGAAGTCTTTGTAAATAAGGAAGGGTGGAGGGGGTGAAGGGAGGGCAGGGGAATGGGGAAAAAATAAGAACCAAGATTCATCATATAATGGTACAAGATCCCAATGATGAATGTAACTGTATTGTATACCTAAAATGTACCAATAAACTAAATGGAAAAAAAAATCTCAATCTGCACCATGTAGACAAAATACTTAGATATAAAATATACTGTCTCTTTAGTACATTTACTAAAATCAATACATAAATCCCAAAATATGATAAACTGGACCACATTAAAATTTTAAAACCTCCATCTTAATGCACCATAAACATAATATATTTAAAAATTCTACAAATCAATGAAAAAACAGCAGATAACCTGAATAAAATGGACAAAAATCTTGAAATGCCACAAGAGAGGATGTCCAAGTTTTAAATATACATAAAAATGCAGGTACTTGACTTCCTTAATTATTAGGAAACACAAATTAAACTCACACTAAGATATCACTTTTCATTTACCAAAGCCACAGAAATATTTTAAGTCTGATTACATCAAAGCTTGGTGTTGAGGAATTTTCAAACTGAACAGGGTATAAAAATTGATAGTACCACTTTGGAAGGCAATTTGGCATTATCTAGTAGAGCTGAAGATATACATAGGTATCTGCTGTAAACCAGTGATTCCCCTACTACGTATCCAGAAATGCAAATACAAGCACTTGTGCACCAGGATACACGTGCAAGAATGTTTATATAGAAGTTCTATAAATTCCCTGGTAGTAAGTCAAATGTCCATCAGGACTACAACAAATAAGTACATTTTGAGACAGTCATACAGTAAATTATATATCAGGTGAGTAGGAGTGAATTGCTACACAGCACAACACAGGGAATCTTAGAAAATAATGTAAGTGAAAAGGGCAAGACATAATGAATATAGGAAAATCCCAATTATATAAAGTTCAGAAATAGGCCATGCAGATATTATAGCAGTTTAGGAACCTTGGTGGGTCAGAACAAAATATCCCACAAATATTCCTTGGCAGGCTTTCTACCTTAAAGGATACTAGAAGACCTTAGAAAGTCTCTCTCTGACCATCCTCTAGCCTCCTATCTCCCACCCCTCTCTCAGAAGCGATACCCAGAGACTAGAATTCCCCTTCCTTGGGGCAAGCTGCAGAAACTAGAAATATTACTCTAACCTTCCCTCTGCTTTGTGTGTAGCAGCAGGCCATGAAGAGACCCTATGACCCACCTTGTCTGATCGTAGATCATAAAGCCCTCATTCCAGAAGGGTCCTACCTTACAGCCAAGAAGAAAGAATGCTACACAGAAAGACCAAGAAGAATCTGAGCACATGGGCTCTGCTAGGTTCCCTCCTTGGTCTATGACCATTAGTTATTAGTCTATGACCCTTTTGTCCAATCACATTGCTCCATAGCTATTTGTTCTTCATTGAGCCTAAGCATAAAAATAAGACAGTTTTCCCTGGTCTGCAGACTTTTTACTTTGAAGGCTCCTGTCACATAAAACTTCAATTAAGTAAATGGGTTATGCTTTTCTCTAGCTAACCTGCCTCTGTTATACAAGTGTCTCTTATGATGAGTGAGGAAAGGCAGCATACATTTTCCATGCCTACACTACACATAATGTAAGCAGAAAATTTTTTTCTTTAAGAGAGGCACGGAAATGATTACCATAAAAGTCTGGTTAAAGTGGGTGTGGTGGTTGTAAGGAATGAAATAACGTGAAATACATTTGTTCATTTTTCCCTTTTTAATCAACTGAATGCCAGGAGTTCCAAGTTTACTTGTCACTGTGTAAGGCAGGATGGGTTTGGGAAGGGTCACACCGAGGAACAAGCTCACTGCTTATTCAGAGAGGATATTTTGAGAGTGTGTATTACTGTACATAGAGATGATGAAGTAGGAACTTGCTTCTACTGCTCAGGGTATTTGTATATATTTTACACACGTAAAGAACATACGTTTGTCATAGTAAATCACTTTGGTAGATGACAGAAAATCTTAGCTTAAAATGTTCTGGATTGAGGCATAAGTTGGAGTCATATGGTGCCCAGAGGAAAATTATCTGTCATATTAAGAATGATCCATCAAGGCAGAGCTTTGAGTATAGGGAAGATATGGTGAGGGTCACATAACAGAGGAGACTGAGCAAGACACCTGGGACCAGTAATCCAAACTGCTGACTGATGTTGCCTCACCGCACTACCATTTCAATTGAATAGATGAAAACTACAAGCAACTGTCATTCTAAGACGGAATAAGTCAGTGGTGAATTTTCATCTTTGCAGTTCCTCATGAAGTGTTCTTCTTGATGATTATTTTGTGTCAACCTGACTGGGCCAGAGAATGCACAGATATTTGGTCAAATATTATTCCAGGTGTTTCTGTGCAGGTGTTTTGGATGAGATTAATATTTATATCAGTAGCTGAGAAAAGCAGGCTGCCTCTCTGATGTACCTGGGCCTCATCCATCACTTGAAGGCCTACATTGAACAAAAAAGTTGACTTTTCCCTCAATAAGAAAGAATTCCTCCTGCCTACGTGCCTTCAATCTCAAACAGAAGCTTTTCCTGTTTTTGACCCTGAACTGAAATACTGCTGCTTCCTGGGTCTCAAGCCCACCAGCCTTTGGAATGGAACTACACCACTGGTCCTCAGGCCTTTAAACTCAAACTGGTACTATACACCCACCGTCTCTGTCAGGTCTGCACTTACTGAGTCACCCTACAGGTCTTGGGACTTGTCAGCCTCCCATAATCAACGGGCCAGTTTCTTATAGGACCAGTAATGTGCTGCGTAACATTTTGGTCAGGGACAGACTACATATATGATGGTAGTCCCATAAAAATGTATCACCTAGTGACATCACAGCCTTAGACGTACACTCTATGGTTTTTGTGCAACAAGGAAATCATCTAATAACACATTTCTCAGAATGTATCTCAATCGCTAAGCGACCTGTGACTGTATTCATAGGTATCTGTATCCGTCTCTGTCCTGTACACACGTCCTGCTGGCCCTGTTGCACTGGACAACCCTAACTACTGTACCCATCTCCTCCCTGTGTGCCACGCTTGTCCAGGACCTGTCCTGCTTTCACTGCTGTAGTGCAAAATGACCACGGCAAGCCTTCTTCCTCTTTCCTATCATTCATCTAGGTCAAAAGAGAGGGAAAAGAAAGGGAAAAAACAATAAAGCCATTTATAGAAGCTCTGAGCCTTAGTCTTCCCTGCTCTTCACTTCTCTTCAATCCATGATCTACATCAGGGTGAAACAAATGGTCAGGGACAAAGTCAGAAAACCCTGACTGGTGGCTTCAAAGTTCACTGAAACTCAAAACATACATAAATACATTTCTATGACAAGAAAGTATTCCTCACCAAAGAGTATTTTTTTCTAAAAAATTATGGATGTCATATAAATTCATTTCAAAATAACAGCCATTCATATTATTCAATACAATTTTTCTTTGAAGAGACTTATAAAATAGTGCATGCTTGAGATGTACATAGTCGTTAATCTTATGCTCATTTCTCGGTATAATTGTAAAGTACTCTTTGAGAAAAAAATTCTATTTAGGTTATATTTTACTTTTAATGTTAGGGCTCTCAACATTTCTGAGACTAAAAATTAAAGGCCAACAGCAAGATTATAATTGCTTTTTAATAGTTCTCCTTCTTCATAGAAGTGACCTTTCTTATCAGCTCAAAATTCTAGACCTTAGAGAAAGATCAAAGTGATGAATTTCCAATTTTAAATGTCAAATTCAGAATATTTCCTACAGATTTAGCTACCCAGGAGAGAAAGAATTTAAAATACCTGAAATTCTTTCAATTGATTCTTGGATAGATCACGTGTAAAAATTATTTAGCCTTAACTACTTCAAGGGCTTAAAGTAGATTATGTCACACTCTACTCAGTAAGGAAAAGTAATGAGAACATTTTTTAAAAAGCAAAGTCCCATTTTCATAGTCGTGTGGGAGGAACATGCTACACATTCTATTCAGATGGACCAGCAAAGGTGCAAAGTACGAATAAATGGCCTCTCTGTGTGAAAGGATTAAACAAATCACATGAGTTAATGAAAGCTAAAAAATCTAGTGAAAGTTTAAATGCCATTTGTTCAAGAATAAATTATACCAACGCAGCTAACATTGTGACACAAGAAGGTACATGGTCACTATGGCAAGTAGGCTGTCTGTAATTCTGGGTGGTGTCAGGCAGGACCCCAAAGGAGGTAAAATTTGATTCCAGATCTCGCTACCTTACATTATGCTCAACAAAAGCTCTCGAGGCCACCAAGTCACCTTAGGCTTCAGAAAAAATGAATTCCTGTCTGAACGTATAATTTCCTTTCCCAAGAATTTAAATATAATCTGTTTTTCTTACAGAAGGTTCCTCTCTCAGCAACTAAAAGTTTAAATATGAGGATGACGATTAAAAATAATTAGAACTTTTAGATTATTAATTTACAACAGATTTAAGTTTTAGTTTAGTACTTTCATTTTAAAAATAAGTAAATAAACGAAAGCTTTTCAAATTCAAGTCAGTGAGGAGAAAAAAAAGATGAAAACATTCTGAAGACACTCAAAAGTCCTTGGTCATACAGTTAAGTGAAATCTTAAGGTTGTGGAAGAAACCTTAAAACTGGAGTATCTAAGATAAAAGCTAACATCAAACTCCAGGGGCTTGGGACACTCACGTTGCATCAAAGGGTCTACAAGACCACAACAGAACATATAGGCCATGAGAATTTCCTTCCAGGGTTTTTTGGGTTGTTCTTTTTTTGGTACCGGGGATCAAACTCGGGACCTTGTGCTTTCAAGGCAGGCGGCAGAACCACTGAGCTAAATCCCCAGCCCTTTACCCGGGTTTTTAAAGGCCCATTCTGTTTGCCTGCATGTCTGTCTATCACCTATCACACAAAAGGATTAATACGCTAGCCTTTAGAAATTTTTCCAAGAGAAACGCTATCTTTCATACTTTTTACTGTCCTTCTAATGACACAATCTAAACTCGTAGTCAAGCAAAGGATACCACTAGCATAACCAAGTTCTCACACAGGAAGCAATGTCGGGTACAGAGTGAGCATCTTCCGCTGGTGCTTACCGGATAGGATTGGGAGGTGGAGGCGGAAGAGGTGGTGGAGGCGGAGGTGGAGGAGGTACTGAATTCTCAGACTGGTTCACTCGTTTCTGGAGCTCATCAACTGCACAGGGAGCAAGCATTCACGAGAGAGAGAAAAAAAGCAACTCAACATCTTTTATCCATGTAAAAGAATAAAACATCAAAATCTCTCAAAACCAAGTGCTTTTTATGAGGCCATTATAAATTTCAATATGAAACCACGGACTTTTAAAACTTTTTAGTATCTAGTTTATCACTTATGCAAGAAAGGTCTTCCATCTATTAAAATTAAATGTTACAATCTTTTTCCTGCATACACAATTTTGGAAAAACAAAAAAAATATTCAAGACGATGGCTAACGGGTGGGAAGTGAGGACTGAGTAGGTTGAAGAAACATTTGTAACAATGTAGTATACTACTCAAACACGAGGAGACTGTTAATAGTTGAATTTAAAAGTGTATGGACCAAGAGTTAATTTTAAAGATGACATTTAGTAAAGAACTTTAATAGTTGCATACTTTGCTCCTCCGCTTCATTTCCTTCAAAAACTGCAATACTAGAGTCCTTGATTTTAACCAGATTCAGATTCCTAAATGCCTGTATCCCAGAAACTTTCTGCTCTTTTGAAGAGCACTCTGGAAATACAATTTATTCATTCAATTCATTCAAGTCACTAATGAGACAGACAGTTACTGAACACTAAGAATGTGAAGGTGCCTCCACATAGCACTGTTGGAGGCAAACTATAGTTCCTGGCTTCAAGGAGCTCAATTAGAAGTTATATCACAGGGCTGAGGGTGTAGCTCAGTGGTAGAGGACTACCTTGCCTAGCACGCACAATGCCCCGAGTTCGATCCCCAACACCACAAAAAATAAGTCAAATAAATATCTATGACAGATGCTGATTCTGGAATCTGGGGTAACAGGTAACATTAATGAACGTGTTCTATGGAATTTTAATGAATGAATGAATGAATGAATGAATGCTTCCTCTGCCCGTGACCACCTTTGCTTCCACCCTCAGCCCTGACACAGGCAGTGTGGGCTATGCTTTTAACACCAAGAACATTCCAGTTATTTCATACGCATGCATCTATCTCTCCAAACCACTTCTGAAATCTGATGACAAAAAGCATGCTTTATTTTCCCATACTCCTTAATGTAGCCTAGGTCTGAGCTGGGTAGACACACACAGCAAATTCTAAATAAATGCATTAAGTCTCTGTAAATAGGAAAGGCTGGACGGGGTGAAGGGAGGGCAGGGGAATGGGGAAAAAATAAGAACCAAGATGCATCATGTAAAGGTACAAGATCCCAATGATGAATGTAACTGTATTGTATACCTAAAGTGTACCAATAAACTTAAAGAAAAAAATTGAATTGCAAATATCTCTAGTGTCTACTCCTTTTCACCATAAGGATGGCTTTGGCTATAGGATACTCTAATATTCATTAAAAGAAATGGAAAATTTCTTAATTTTGGATCAATTTAAAAAAAATAAAATTGTAATAAATTTTCATTGTGAAAAAGCATTGAACAGTTTTAAAAGGAAAAAAGGGCTACATGGTTCCACACAGATTTCAAAATTCCAGTATAAAATTAGTCAAAATATCTGAAGTGAATATTGAAGCTGTTATAAAGGGAATGTACCTGCCTCCTTAAATTACCTACCTTCGAACTGAGACTTATACTTATGCCTGTGTAGTAATCCAGTTCACGCATTCCTGGTAAAGCCTTCCAGCACTGAATGAATATATCCTTTAACTTAAGCAACCCCTGGTGTTTTAAAAGTCTTTCCTTTTAATATATATATTGTTGCCCATTTCATTGTTAGGTGTGGCATAGAAAGTATTTCATGTGTATAATTAGACAGCAAAGATGAAGGGAGAATGAACACCAAAAATGAAGGTCGTACAAAAAAATTCTTTTTTAAAAAGCACTCTGAAGTGAACAAAATAAAATAGGCACTAAAAGAACATTCATCTCTGAAGCCTTGGAGAAATGATGAAATTTTTGGTTTTCTATGCTAATGTCAGCTCTGTGTCCTAATCCTGCACCTGATGCTCAGAAAGGCTCTATATCCAAAAAAAAGTCTAAATATTTGTGAATCATTTGATGACACAGGCTATTTTGAGTGGTGGTGGTTAGAAAGGAAGGAATTTAAAAGCCAATCTTGGTATTTTTCTATAGCATTCAGTACTGACTATATGCCATGTTTTGTCATTGGCCTGAGAGAGTCACAAATGAAGAGTAAGACATGGGATCCAACTTTTACCAGAATGCTTTAAATTTCTGGCCTTCTCTTCAGAGTTCTGGTATTTCAATTCCAGTTCCTTCTTATCTTCTTCTAAAAGCTCCAGTTGCTGTTTGAGGTTATGTATCTCTTTGTGCAGTGCTTCATTTTCTAGTTGCTCCTCTAATTCTTTGACCTGTAAGTTGTAAATAAACTTTAATGGTTTAATAAGTTTTCCTTCATCAATCAAAAGAAAGGGAAAACCTATTTTCATTTGACTTTGCTCTTCATAGCAGAAATATTCTAACCCATCTTAAAATCATACAAATTCTAGATACAGATAATACTTACAATCATTATCAATTCTTTGATTTAATATAAATTTACTGGAGAGTTATATACATTAATTTTTAAATGTGAGTTTAATAGTAAAATAATACCTAAAAGTTCATTTTAAACAGAATAATGCTTTCCTAACTCATTTTTAAGAGAAAGATTTAAGTAGTTAAAAAGACCCCCAACAGTCACAATTTGTAGCAAGTATCAAAAACCCTGAAAAGAGAAAAAAGTCAGGTATGGTGGTACATGCCTACAGTCCTAGCTACTAAGGAGGCTGAGACCCCCATCTCAAAAAACCAAATTTTTTTAAAAAGGAGGGAAAAAACCCTTTGTGATTCAGTAACACCACTCTTAGGAATTTCTTTTAAAAAACATTCAGGTGGGTCGGGGATTTAGCTCAGTGGTGCTGCCACCTGCCTCACAAGTGCAAGGTCCCTAGTTCTTCTATCCCTGGTTCCAATAAATAAATAAATAAATAAATAAATAAATAAATAAATAAAATCAGGCAATGTACAAATGTATTCACTAAAATGTGATTTACAACAGTGAAGAGCCAGAAATAACCTAAATGTCCACCAATATTATCGCTTTAATAAATAATAGTATGTATATTAAATAAAATACTATACAACCATTTGAAATCACATAGCTTCCTATTTGCTGAAATGTGAGGATGTACAGTGTTACCAATTGGAAAAAATGAGGTTACAGAATAGTATGTATGATAGGATTCCATTTATTTTTATTTTTATTTTTTTTAAGTGTAGGAAGGTCCTGAGTGGGTGGCCCTGATAGGATTCCATTTAAACAAACAAAATATATATATGTAGATATATTTATATACTTATATAAAGTTTAGTTGTATACTAAAATAGGTATTGTTGATAATTTTAATTTTCTTTAAGTAAAACATATTTTGTTGTGTTGTGTTTTGTTTTTTGAGACAGGGTCACACTATGCAGTTCAAGATGGCCTTGAACTCAGTGATCCTCCTGCCTCAGCCTCCTGAGTGCTGGGATTACAGGTGTGCACCACCATGCTCAGCAAGTAAAACATATTTTAAGCCACACACATGAAGGATTATCCAGAATAAATGTATAGCATAGTACAACCATTTAAGAAGAGTTACTGCTATAATTTCATTTATAATTTTTATCTAATCTTCAGTACCTCTCAGCCTTCCCCAACCAGGCATAAAGACAACTTAGTCTTATAGTGCAGCTCAATCAGAAGGTTCTATGTATGTATTATTTACTAAATGAGTTAACTGTGCATAGTTGGACTTCTCAGAACCAAAAGTTAAACTCTAGCATAAGCTGAAAAGCAATTCTTTTCTCTTCATTTAAAAAATTAATTCCTGCATGCAAAGACAGGAAAAATAAACAAATCCTTCCATCCTCCCTTGTTCCCTAGTCCTCCTTCCCTGGGTCAATCACTGTTACCACCTACTTATCCAGAAGTCGTCTGTGCAGATGTCAGTATTTTCTTACTGAGGAAACAAATATCAGCTCAGCCTCACCACTACCTTTGTAAAACCTTCAGAACTTCCAGTATCACCCCTCAGAGACACTGACAGCTAACCGCCTTTCCTCACCAGGGAGGTCCACTGTAAGCAGTATAAATATGGACGTGATTTTCCCTAACTAGCCCCTTTCATCTGCAAGTCTTTTTCCCACTTCTCTCCTCTTCTGTCCCTCCTGCTGCTTCTCACCTACCTCGATGAGCAGAGCACCCTCTCTGCCTAGCACAGAGCTGGCCTGTGTCCACTGGAAGAGCCCCGCTGCTGTACACTGAAGTAACCATGTAGGAAGCATTTAAATAAAAACACAGTTGTATAAGCATGCACACTCAGAAAATTTCTCTAAGCAAACAATTACTACTGACATGGACTTTTCTTTCTCTCCCACTTTGAATAGACTTATGCCCTCTAAGCTAAGTGAGAATATTACACCCTCTTCATGTATGAAGTCTCTAAAAAATCACAATTTCTCCAAAAACAGATTTCTAGACTATGTATTATCAGAGATATTTTGAGTCATCTCTTTCTGTTTGCTTTAAGATCTTATTCAATGATCAGCTTCAAGATCATTATAGAGTAAGTCTACAATAGTGTGCTATAAATTTTAGTTGGGCAGTAAGTTACACTCATCTGATACTTACTTTTTTCTAAAGGGTGATTGGAAGTACTTCATAATTAACATGAAATATGAAACAATAAAATACTGTATCAACTCTTTTTGTTTCGATTGTGTGTGTGTGTAAAATCCCAGAATAAAATTTGTTACCTTTTGCTGATGCTGAATTCTCTCTTCTTCAAGTTGTTGGATGAGTTTTGCATTTTCATCTAAAGCTTTCAAAAGCTGCTGGTCAGGGACAGTGGTCTGTAGCAGAAGGTGGCTTTGTCTCTTTAGCTTGTTTTGTTCTATGAACATCTGCAACAGTTACATTGCAAAAAACATATACATCAATCTCCCAAATATCTCCTCAACTGCAATTTGAGCAAAAGGAAAGTATGCAGAGTTTTTAAGATATCAAAGGAAGGTATTGAATTGTAAATAATTTGAAGAGTAGTCATTGCTATGATTTCATTCCTAACTTTATATAATCTTCAGTACCTTTATTCCTGCCTCAAACAAGGTATGTATATGATAATTTAATCTCATGCCTCAGTTTAAAATAATTTTATTATTGCTATAAAATACATTAATACTAACAGTAGTAGTTAATATGTATCAAGAACTTATTTTATGCCAGGTATTCTATTAATATTTTATATGACTTATTTTAATCCATACCTAAATCCTATTGAGTTCAGTGCTTCTATGAATAGGTGATGTTCATTAAATAATGACACAAGTAGTGGTAATCATTTTACATGCATTACATCATCTGATCGTTAAACAACACTGTCAAGTAGACACTCTTATCATCCCACTGTACTGGGAAGGCGACTGAAGGTCAGAAGTGTTAAGAAACTTTCCCAAGCCCATACATGGGCACCAAGGCTAGTATTTAAACCCACAGCTGTTTCGTTTACAAGCCCAAGTATCTTCATCTGACTAATTTCTACTATTTACTAGACTTAATGTTCTGTTTTATACCAGTTTTCCGCAGTGATGAAAGCAGTCAATAACAGGAAGGTTAAGGGGGGAAAGGGAGATAGTACACTAATTTTTTTTTTTTTTTTTTGGTACCGGCGATTGAACTCGGGTCCTTGCGCTTACGCAGCAGGCAGCAAAACCACTGAGCTAATTCCCCGGCCCTAGTACACTAGTATTTATTGAGCACTGATTGAGCAAATTACATATATTATTCATCTAAATCTCACAATCTCACATGATTGCTTAAAAACAACATTACTTTCTATTCACCTGTTATCTCTCTCCCTTAATCATACCAAAATTGGCCAGTGGCTGATTCCAAGCACAAAATGTTTTTGCAAAGTCTGAAATGTTTTACAAACTCTAATCTCTCAATTCACATTTTTAGATTTTTAACAGCATTTAAAAATGTACATTGTAGGGCCGGGGATTTAGCTCAGTGGTTTCGCCGCCTGCTGCACAAGCACAAGGACCCGAGTTCAATCCCCAGTACCAAAAAAAAAAAAAAATGTAAATTGTAGCTTAAGTGTGAGATCTGTAATTGACTTGCTGCAGAGTACTATGTATACAACTTAATTCATCCTATTCCAGAAACGTCAGCAAATATAACTCTAGACAAAAAAAAAAAATTTCTTCTATCAACCCTCATATGGGAAGTCCATAGCTTTAATGATTCATACAATCCTTAAACTTAATCCTTGGTCAGTACTGATTTCCAAATGAAAATGAAGTCCTCAATATAATATATGAAAATGCTCACATTTTCTTCCCAGTATGTTTTCCTATGAGGGAAAAAAAATTACAACCAGCTTTTATTCTTTCGCCCGTGCAGGGATTTGTGAAAAAATTATTAAAGTTACAACACTGCTTTTCTACAAAACTAGAACACTGCAAAGTCAAACGGGAAAACAAACAAACTAAACATGAAATCCATATTCTTCCATCTGACTCCCTGTCCGTGTAGCAACGAGAGGCATGGATGGGCCAAGCACATTGTGTGCATGTCCTACACTGAGAAGGGAAGGGCCCAGGGGCTCCAAAGTATCCTGAATTTAAGCCCAATGGTAATTGAAATGAATGATTTGGGGTCACCCTTTGTTTTGTTTTGTTGTTTTGTTTGGTTGTTTTGTTTTGCTTTTCAGTACTGGGAAATTGAACCCAGGGCCTTCGTACTGAGCTATATCCTCAGCCCTTTCTATCTAGAGACAGGGTCTCACCAAGTCACTAAGTTGCCCTGGCTGGGCTTGAACTTGTGGTTCTCTTGCTTCAGCCTCCTACAGTGCTAGGACTACAGGAATGTACCACCAGGGCTGCAGTCCTTTGCCTGAGGCAGCTGAGAAAGTACCTCAAGGAGATGGCAGGAAAGGCCTGCAAACAGCAGCCAAGGCAGGCCCCAGGGGTTTGCTTCCTTTTACCCAGTGTGCTCTGGCCTAGGGCCACAGAGCAACTGCTGGGTGTGGCGGCCACAGCCACGGCCTGCTCCGTCAGGGAAGAGAGTGCAGCACTCTCCCTCCAGGCCTCTGTCTTTGGGTTTCTCTATTCCACGCAGCACTCTGGAAAACTTGTTCAACATTACATGGTCCAAATCACACCCCGCTACACCCTGCCATGTTATTTCAGAGAAAAAAGATTAAAGACATATGACATCCAGTCTTGACGATGGTAATATTGTGAATTTCTTTTGTAAAATCCCTTTAATAATCCCTGAACAGTGATATTAAGAGGAAGATGTATATAGAAGATAATTTCCTTTAAATAACAGGGGTTACTCAACAAAAAGTACTCATCAAATTACCTTCTCTAAATCTTAAAAGGGTAAAAGAAAACTCTCTAACTTCTTTTCTAAAGTTATCTCAAGAACATTCAGTCACCAAATACTGATGAATTTGGGTTTTAACTATGGTAAGAACTCACTGGTTAAAGAAATTGGTTTCTTATCAGATAAATAACATCACAGATATCAGATTTCTGAGAAACTTTATACGTATCTGCAAAGAGTAACAATGAGAAGAAAGTCTTTTATTGTTAATATATCATTCATTCTTTTCAAAATAACACTCCAATGAGAGTTATTAGAAAGAAAAGAATTGATTATGTAATAGTTTCAGGGGTTATTAGGAATAAATGTTGAATAGGGTATCTATATCTTGAAAAAAACAAAAACTACATTGAATAGTGAGAAAAAATACATTAAAAAGTGTAAGAAAGTCTCATTAGTAATTCTGAATGTTGATGAAATTCCTAAAACAATACAGTTACGAAAACAACTGTTTTCTTCTTAAGGAATGAACTGTGTTTTTTGTTTCTGTTTTTTAAATGAACTAATATGAATAGGAGTAATAAACTCTCAATTTTTACTTTACACATTGGAGAACTGTTTGCATTTTTACATATATCTACTCCTTTTGCAATTAAAAATACAAATTTTAAAAATAGCTTCTAAGGCTCTAGACTGTAAGCTCAAAAAGGGAAGGGCCCACATCTGCTTTCTTCAGCATTTGACTGTGATATGTTGGCATATCAACAGTGTCTGACATGATCAGGTGCTGCTGCCCACTAAAGAAAGACAAATGCAACATTGTGGAACCCTCTTGTGAAACTCTAAGTCATGTGACTTTTAGCAGCAGTTACCTGTTGAAAACCAGAGAATCAGCAAACTATGTAAAAGGGAAAAAATATTGGCTCCAATCTAGCACTACATCCAGATGTTGTAAAATGACTGAGCACCGCTGCAAATATCTGTGCTACCAATAACAGAAGCACCACCGTTCTTGCTTTCCCTCCCTGGATGTTCTCGATTAGCATGGCATCATCCTTGTGGCAGTCACTAACGCTTCAGGACCTACGAGGTGAATGGCAGAGTAAATCATTCACTTTCAGAACACTCTTACTGCAAACTCGTTCCTCCCATCTACCTTCTCCGCGGCTGCATGGCCTTCAAGTTTTTGAGCTGCTTTGTTTTCTACATCATTGTGAAAGCAACATATAGAAACTTGAAAATGTCCTGAGATAAGACTCTGGCATTTGGGTCAAACCCAACCAACCTTTTCAGTCTTGCAGTGGTGGCATCTTCGCATTATTTCTACATCCCCTCCCCCTCCACTGCGTGGCTGCATTATTTATATGCTGCAGCTTTTTCCAGAGGGCTCTGACACACTTCAATTCTCTTTTCTTTCTTACAAGTAATAAGAGAACAGTATTCACTCACCTTTCATTAAACTCTCTGAATAAAGTGAATCATAATGTTCCGAATCAGATGTACTTAAGACTAAACCTTTTTGTAGAGTTCACTGCTAACACAGCTATACTCAAGCAAAAAAAAGCCCCCCTCTACACATACAAAACCATAATCTGATTTTCAGATATTCTCATAAGACCATGTTGTTTTTCTGCACCCGGGATCCCTCTCCTCAGGACCATTTTAAATATCCTTAACAACTTCCTTCAACCAGTACTAAGCACAAAGATTCAAAATACTTACACAGGATGGAGATCTCCTGCAGAGAGCACCACACCTTAAGTTCTGCCAACTGGTGACTGTCATTGCCCTGGAAACCAGCCCCAGAGCCATGACACCCAACACTACATGTCAACAAGGTTAGGCCGAACTAGAGAAGCTCACTGCCTGTCTCTAACAGGAGAGGAAAATCATTACACTGGTGAAAGGCTGAGATAATGGCTGTACAATGTGGCAATGTTCCATAGGCCGTGGAAGAATCAGCAGCACAATGAATGCCAGACAATGGCCGAGCAGAAACAAGGATACATGACACTGTTATCTGAGATGACATACGGTGGTGCAGCCCAGACTCTTAAGGCTGTAAAATGTATACAAAGCTTGTACCGGAGCCTGACTCTCCATCATGACTTACATGCAATTCCTTTCTTCCACAGGGCATTTTACAGTTTACAAAATACTTTTGAAAAAACTATATCATTTGATTCTAAAATCTACCTGACAATTTGTATCAACATCTATTTATAGATGATGAAAGTGAAGTCTCAAGAGGCTAAGGGCTGCTCAGAGGTGACAGGACTGTACCTGATGGGGCCAAAATCTGAACCCAGATCTTCTCTATCAAATCTAGTGAACTTGTCAACTTGCTACTTGATACTGTCCTGGAGCTGCCTCCCAACCTAGGTTTTGTTTGTTTGTTTTTCAGTATTGGGGACTGAACCCAGGGTCTCATACTGCTACATAAGCACTCCACCACTGAACTACATCCCCAAGCCTTTTTTTTTTTTTTAAATTCTGAGACAAGGTCTCACTAAGCCACCCAACTTGGCTTTGAACTCACAATCCTCCTGGTTTAGCCTCCCAAGGGGGGCCCAGCTGAGCCTTAATTCAAACCAGTATGTTCTTACTCAAACTCAAAAAGAATTTTTATTTTTAATTGACACAATAATTTTGTATATTTATGGTTGTACAGTGTGACTGATATATATTGTAATATATAGTCATCAAATTGGGATAGTTAGCATTCCTATCTCCTTAAATATTTATCTTTACTTTGTGCTGGGAACCTTCACATCCCTCTCTGCTAGTTCTTTATAAAATATATAATAAATTGTTGCAAACTACAGTCATCTTGCTGTGCTAGAGAAGACTAAAATGTATTCCTCCTGACTTAATTTTTTTCATTTGTCATTTGTCATTTGCAAAGTGTGCTAAGAAACAAAAATTAAAAGCAAGGTCTGCCAACAGACGCACCTCTTGTGCAAACGACTCTGCTTTCTTTCGAAGGTCCTTCTCCAGCTCCAGGTTTACTTGCATCTCCTCATATTCCTCTACTGCCAACATGGACACTTAAGAAGATAAGAAAAAGAGATAATATACCATGCAAACGGTCGGGAAGATGGACGGAAAACAGCATGGACATGCAAGCACCCCTGCCCACTCCTAGCATGCTTATAAACTGATATAGCATTTTTAGAGGGTAGCTTGGCAGTATGAATCAAGAACTGAAAACTATTCACATCCTTTGACTCAATCATTCTTCTTCTAGGAATATATACTCAGAAAAAATAAATCATGGCTGTAGACAGAAAACTGGTTGCAAGGATACTCTCAGCATCACTGCTGAAAACACTGAAATTACCTAATATTGAAGGATCAGTAAACTGTAGTATAAGAAATATTATTCTGCCATCAAAAGATATTGTAAAAGCACATTTAGTGAATGGAAAGAGCTTTGTGGCATACTTTTTAACTTAAGCGAGTCGTAAAAATCCATGCAAATGAATTCAATTTTTAAAAAGCCACAGATAAAGCACATCAATGGCATTTCACAGGACAGGAAATATATGGAAGGTCAATAAATTTGTCAAAAGATAGTCATCTTCATTAGAAATTAGAAAATGTGAATAAAAATACCTTTTTATATCCATCAAAGAAGGAATTGGTAAAAAATAAAAGACATGGTTATATTAAGTTTGGAGAATATACAGAACAATGGGAACAAATACACTGCTAATCAGAACATAAACGATGGATTAATTCACTAAGTAATTTATGTAGTGAAACTGAAGATAAAATATTATAGTTGGCACCTGTCTAATGAAACTCTTGGACATACACCAGGAATTTTCATGACACATGACTCAGAACAGCAAAAAGCTGGAAATAACTCAAATATCTAACAAGGGGATACTGGATAAACAAACCTTGGTACAGTTGTCTGATGGAATGTAATACAGTAGTGAAAATATCCATCCCACAACTATGCCCTTCAACACAAAAGCATCTCACAAACATGAAAATTCAGAGGTTATATACAAAATTATTCCACCTATATCAAGTTCCAAAATATGCATGATTAAACAGTGTGATATTAGGGATTCACATGTATTTGGGAAAACTATAAAAGAAACTGTAAAAATTAAAAGGAAGGATGTGAGTAGAGAGGGATATTCATGGACTTGTAAGACATCAGAGGATTCTTTTAATAGTGTTCTGTTTTTCATATACATTATAAACACATGTAACAAAAATTTTAACATTTTATATATTTTTTTTCTTTAGTTGGAAGAATATGCAGTAAAACGTTAATGGTACTTGTCTCTGAACTTGAAGATTAAGATTTTTCATTTCCTATATGAATTTAAATTTTCCAACAAAAACTATATAATCTAATAAAATTAATACACATTTATATATACACACACTACATATATATATATATATATATATGTAGTATTTTCAAATGTTCTCATGTTTACAAAGAGGAGAAAGAGACTTGGATCCATTCAGGCCTAGGGAAGAGCTTTATACTAAAGAATTACTATAGGACTGAAACCTTCAAAGGGAAGGTCCTGATGAATAAAAGCAATGTGAATTCCTTGCTACTCTCGACATTCAGTGGCTACTTTGTCACAACGATACAGATGGGACAGAGGAGTGATGATGCTATTAGAAGTTAGGCACAACATAGGAAGCAGAACACTATGCATCTGCTTGTGGTGTGGCTCCTCCATCCTCAGCTGAGTCATATCAACACATCTCTCAAAAGGCCCTCTTAATGGCTGCTTTCACTGCTGTTCCACCAGGGCACTTCAATCCTAACTGACTAAGGACTGGTTTGTTGTGTAATGACATAGAATTTCAAACTCTGTACTCTGTAAATCTACTGCCTCCTCAGACGAAAGACGAATAGTCTTACTCAAGTAAAGTAATGTAAGTGGTGGTTTGTGTGGTGAATTATAGGTCCCTGAGAGCTAAATGATTTTTAAACGTATTTAAAAGAGAAATTTCATGAAGCAAACAAAGACAACTAGTACTATCTGAAACCCTGGGTAAGATAATTGACTTTCTTTTCTATGTCCAGATCACTATAATAAAAAGTGAATTTTCACATGTCCAGGTCCCTTTGACTTGCAATTCTGAAGGAAATCAGGCTGGGCCTCCTGGTGTATCTATGTATCTACCTGCTCTCTTCCTAGATAGGAGGCTCTCTGAAGGCAAGAGCCATGTGATTCATCTCTGAAGAACCCTGTTTCTAGCACAGTGCATCTGGACAGCATATTCTTCATTACAATTCTCTCTATAAATCAAGTAAAACCTGAAGAAAAGCCACAGACTGATGCAACTCCTACACACATAACTAGGCAAGTCTTTTATTCAAAACTCCCAGCTGATGGACAATGCAATGATTGAGAGCTACCACCAATGACAATGTGGAAAGCCCCATATCTGAAAGATTTCCTGTTAGTGTCATAGCTTCTGAGCTAGGAAAGCAAGTGGCTGAGAGAAAAAGAGAGAAGAAGCATTTTAAATCTCTGCTATGGTTTGGATATGGTCTGTTCCACCAAAGGTGCATGTGTTGAAAGGTTGGTCCCAGTGTGGTGGTAAAAGTGGTGGTGGAACCTTTAACGAGTGGGACTTAGCACCTTAGTGCCTTATGTCATGGTGGATGTTGCACTAAGAAGAGATTAATGCTGGTCTTAGAGAGTAGGCTCGTTCTCACTAGAGTGGGTTGTTATTAAAAGACCAGGACTGGCACCTCCTTGGGCTCTGATTTCCCATCTTGCTTTGTGATCTCTCCCTTTCAACCTGTACTCCACCATCATGCCATCTACTATGCTGGGTCCCAACCAAAAGGGTCCTCACCAGAGTGAACAGATGCTGGCACCATGCTCTTGTACCTCTGAAACTCGGAGCTAAATAAACCTTTTTTCTTTATCAAGTACCTCATCTTTGATGTTTTGTTAAAGAAACAGAAAAAGACTAATACAGTCTCTTCCCTTAGGATTACTTTTCAGCATTTCCTCCTAAACCGACATATATAAGAAGCAGCCCCCATGAAACCTGATGTGTTTTACAATAAGGACGATAAGGTTACTGCTAACTGAATCACAGTTTTCTTTGGAAGTAACCATGGAGACATTTCCTTCTCACCATGAGACCAGGGCTGATTTTTCCGATCATTAGATTTGTGCTTATGTAACTGATTTAAATGCTCAATGAATCTCTCATTGTAACTGCTGCTAGAGAACTCACAAGCAGATTTCCGGAACAAAGCCAAGAAGTACACAAGACTTCAGAGCAAGTACTATACACCTGTACATCAATTTGTATTTTCACTTTACTTGGTCCCATCTGTCACATCCTCTTAATTTAAAATGTTCATATCATGTTGCATATTTATTTAAATATCCTAATCCCATCTGGATTGAGATTTATTAAATAACCTATCAAATATATAAATGCAGAGTGGATAGCCAAAATGGTCATGGTCTCAGGATATATGTAGGATAGAAGTAGTATTTATGTTTGAAGTTTCAAAATGAGTGGGTTCCAAGTACCTCATGTGAAATCACTTTTAAATATCCCTAGAGATGGAGCTGGGAATGGTGGCGCGCGCCTGTAATCCCAGCACTCAGGAGGCAGAGGCAGGAGGATTGCCACGAATTCGAGGCCAGCCTGGGCTACAAAGTGAGTTCAGGTCCAGCCTGAACATAAAAGCGAGACCTTGTCTCAAGA